CCCTTTGCTCACAATTGTAACGAGTCAACACGTCGAGACATTCAACACTGTTGTTCAGTTCCTTGCCGACCTCCACACTCGGTCACAGAAATTCCGGGATTTTGCAGCCACGTCTTCATACGTCCAAGATCTTCTTGCCGTGTTATTTCCTGTTGTGGTTGGGTCTGACGTGGTCGAGGCGAAGACGGAGCTAGATGCCCGGGATTCAACGCTTACATTTGATGGTGGAGATGTTGTTGTCCATCCTCTCTCGACCGCTCCACCTGTTGTCCGGACTATCGACACAGAAAACTCGTCTACGGCGAACAGAGGTAAAACTCTTCGAAGAGGCTCATCTTTTGTGCTCGTCACTAAGGACCACGCCCGCCAGACTGGTTCCGTCACCTCCACAGCAGCTTCACCCTCGAACGGCTCAAACTCTGCTACGGGAAAGGTGCCAGAACTTCACGACAGTCATTCCATTGTTCAGGGCTTGTTGGAGATAGTTATATCTGTTTTCATGGATCAAATCCTAGTCCGGAAGGAGTTTCCAGGCCTCGGGCTTTTCCTGAAGACACCACCTGGCTTCATCGAGCACCAATCTTACTTCGAAACGTGGATCTTAAGAAACACCGTCTCGCAGCTCGCTAACCATATAGCACTAAATCAGTCGATCCTAACAGAGCCTAGGGTATTGACCAACCTAGCCCGCCTCTTCGGACACCTTGAAGAGGCTCTCTTCGAAGGATGGTTCATTGGAGGTGCCGACCCGGTACTCGACTTATCAGGATCCATATTAGAATATCTTCAACGCCCCGATGTTGCAAAATTGAAGAGCGTTCGACTGTGTGCGCAGACCGTCGCCATCATCCGCGCTGTTGTTTTCCGGACAGTCCTTCTCAGTCTCTCATCAATTCATGACAATGACTCGTTACCCTTTTTGGAAAAGTTGACCTATTGGCAGACGGTCTTACTGTCCGGTGAAGACACTCAATCGGCTAATCTGCAGTTGATTTGTTACCTTTTGTACGCCAACCTCATTTCGAACACTGATGCTGTTCGGCAAGCGGCAGCCAATTTATGGAGGATCATACTAGTCCAAAAGCCGGATGAAGCAGCAGCGATTTTCGGGCAGACCGACACAACGGAGCAGAAAGGCCTGACTGGCGGATTTTCGAAGCTGGTTGAACTGGACAATGAAACTTTTCTCTACTGGGTCGACGAGCACCGCAATGAGCTGGATTCTTTGTTTTTTGATACCCTTTCGAAGCAGTGGAATGGATTCGTCACTTCAGAAAATAAAAGGACTGAAGAAAACGGACGGATGAGAATAGCACGCCGGCGAGAGAAGCTCAAGCAATGGGCACGAGAAGAGGCCGACCGTGAGGATCTGATTCGTCGCCATGAGATCGCTTTCGAAAATTGGACTGCCAATATCTACTCCTCTGAATACCTCAAGCACCAGCGGCTGGTCCAAGATCAGCAGGACGATCTGGTGTACACCGAAGCCAGCTTTAATCGGATGCAGAGAGATACAAGTAAACCAGCGGGGCTGTTTGCCACGAATAAATCCAGAAAGTGGAGATTGGATCAAACAGAAGGACGGAATCGGATGCGAATGCGATTACACGAGGACTACACCTACACAGAAGACGATCAACAGCCAAAGAGGAAAGGGTCTGATATGCCACAACTGCGGCTTGATACTAGAAACACCAAGATGTCCACAGCGGAATCGATAGGTGTAACACCCGTTGGTGTGACACCCCCTGGCGTAACACCAGTTGTCGACACCCCGAAGCGCGTCAACAGCGGAACTGAACCATTCCCATCCCTTCAAGAAAGCACCAAACAAACAGCAGACAGTGAAACCCAAAGCGAGGCCATGGAAGGCGAGGAGAGTTTCGAATTGGTTGAAGATCCAAATATCGAAATGGATGATTTCGAAGACAAGAATCGGAAGGTGATGCGCAGCCTTCACCGCGGAGACCAGGTCAAGCACGTTGCCAACATCTCTCGTATTCTAGGACTTGAAGCGGTGGAAGGCCTCCTCATCCTGGGCAAAGACTATATTTACATTCTCGACAACTTTTTCCAGCGGGCTGATGGCGAGATCGTGAATGTTTGGCAAGCGCCACAAGAAGAGCGGGACCCGTACGTCCGAATGATCTCTGGCCGCGATGTCACGGAACGCAAAATTGTCTCCCGGAGTGACGAACATGGCACTCGAAGTTGGAAGTGGTCCGACATTATCAGCGTTTCCAAGCGGCGATTTCTTTTCCGAGATGTTGCAATCGAGATCTTCTTCGGCGATGGCAGAAGCTACTTGTTGACCGTGGTCTCGCCTCACATTCGGAACGACTTGCACAGTCTTATCAGCGCCAAAGCTCCATCACCTAACGGAGCGGGCAGTCATTCGGAGACAGCCTGGCGCTACGAGACTTTGAGAAGTGTGGACGACGAACCACAGACCCTTGGATCCAAGTTTGCAAATGTGTTTGGTCAGCAGTCGAGCTCTCTAGCTGCAACTCGGAAATGGCAAAAGGGGGAAATGTCGAACTTCCACTATCTCATGCTAATCAACACAATGGCGGGAAGAACGTACAATGACTTGACACAGTATCCCGTGTTCCCGTGGGTCATCGCAGACTACACGAGTGACGAACTAGACCTCACGGACCCAAGAACATTTCGCGATCTTTCCAAACCAATGGGTTGTCAAACGATGGAACGCGAGAGAGAGTTCAGAGAACGATATCAAACATTCGCAGAAATGGGCGACAACAATACCCCGGCTTTCCATTACGGGACGCACTATTCCTCGGCCATGATTGTGACATCTTACCTGATTCGCCTACAACCCTTCGTCAAGTCGTATCTCCTCTTACAGGGGGGTACATTTGATCATCCAGATCGCATGTTCTTCTCAATAGAAGGGGCCTGGAAATCAGCAGCCCGAATGAACATGAGCGACGTCCGCGAGTTAACTCCTGAGTTTTATTATCTGCCGGAATTCTTGGTCAACGTCAATGACTTCGACTTCGGTACCAGGCAGACATCGCAGTCGATCGGAAATGTTGAGCTTCCACCCTGGGCAAAGGGTGATCCTCGCATTTTTATTGCCAAACAGCGCGAAGCACTTGAGAGTCCCTATGTCAGCCGCAATCTCCACAAATGGATCGATCTGATATTTGGCAGCAAACAGAAAGGCGAAGCTGCTGTGGAGGCCGTAAACGTATTCCACTACCTATCATACCAAGGTGCGAAAGATCTGGACGCCATTAGCGACCCAATGGAACGGCTTGCAACAATTGGCATCATCCACAATTTCGGCCAGACCCCATATCAGGTCTTTACCAAACCGCATCCTGCGCGAGAACAGATCCGGCATCGCTACAAACGGCTTGACACTGCCGCAGAATCGTTGACTCGGATTCCATCAACACTCCTAGAAACAGGGGAAAGAGTGGCTTCACTCAGATATTCCTGGAAGTCTGATCGGCTGCTGTGCTCAGGGCCATTTAGGCTGAACATCCCTCCGGATTACGACATGTACCTTGAATGGGGGTTTTCCGACAACAGTGTCCGGTTCTACTCAACCGAGAGCAGAAAGCAGATCGGGCTCTTTGAGCATCTGCATATTGGGCAATTGTCTTGCGCGTTGTTCGCTGATTCGAAAACGTTGATCACTGGTGGGACAGACTGCACCGTAGCTGTGTGGACAGTCATTGAAAGTGGGAAGACTGTGGAACTGCATCCACGGGCCACACTTTTTGGGCACCGCAGACCCGTGAGCTCTTTGGCTATATCAAAGTCGTTTAATGCCTTATTGTCAGCTTCGACAGATGGACAAGTGATGCTTTGGGATCTCAATCGCAGCGAATTCATCCGCAGGATGGATGGCGATCTGCCAGTTCAATGTGCGGCTATCAACGACGTTACGGGGAATATAGTCCTCTGTCACGGGCATGAAATCAGCATGTATACCCTTAACGGCGATCTGCTCCTGCGACAGGACTCTGGAGACCGCTCGCAGGAGAGCATCGTCTCGTGCGCATGCTACGAAGGCGCGGGCAACGAGTGGCTGGAACGAGACCTGGTCTTTACCGGCCACAAGAGGGGTCAGGTCCGTATCTGGAGCAAAGTGGTCCGTGATGGCCGCTTTGAATTGGAGCTCATTCGACAGCTCAATCATGCTGACGGCAGCCGGGATGATGGAGCAAACGTGAATGCAGGGATCAGCTGCATCCTTCCCATGCCGCAAGTTGTCTACACTGGGGATGAAGACGGCCGAGTGGTGAGTTTCCTCGACTTGACATGCTGTGCAGCGGAGAGCTTTGGCTAATCATGAATGCAGTATGAATGGAACTGTGTGCAGAGGCACTAACGCAGAATATGCTTTGCGGATGGTGCACTGTCAGGTAGGGGTGCAGGATACACCAATTATGAGTTGTTAGAAAGGCATAGCAAGGCGCAGGTTTCGGTTGGGGGTGGACGGGCTTTTGGATACGAGCTCTGGAATATCTTGAGTTGAGGTCGCCTGTTTACTATGCGTTCCAAGCGCCTACAAAAGCCTTGTTCTGGGAAAAGTTGGATAGATCGCGTAGACACCAATGGCACAGACCCCAAAGAAGGGCATAGGAAGGAGTAGGAGAAACGTTTCAAGCCATGGGAAAGAAAAAATCCCACATGCATCAGTTTGATTACAGGTGTCTTTGGAAGATGTCTCTCTTTTTGCATCTGCATCCCTGTACATGTGGCCCATGGTTGGTGGGGAAGTTTTGCGAGCTGCATGGGATGCCGAAATGCGCCAATGCAGCTAGCTCGAGTGACAAGAGCTGAGGAGCTGCAGGCAGAGGACCAAGCCGTGTCCGCCCACGCGTCAACCATGTCCCTCTCTTCACGTCAACTGGCAGAAAGGTGTGAGATGTGATGCACGGGATTCCGGGGGATTTGGGTAGGGTGTTGGATGCAAGGTTTCTTTGGCTGCGTTGGGGAGGGAGGAGGGTAACACCAGGCCAATGATCAGGATACACGATGGATTGATTGTCTTTTGGGCTCGATGGAGGACGGACTTGGTGGAATGGTGGACTGGCGGACTGGCGGACAGGACGAGGTCAGAGCGGAGCAATGCAAGTGTGGCACACCATCCAGAAGATCGGTGTTGGGCGTTTGTCAAGTCGTCTGCCGGGACATCCATGAACATGAGGTATCACACACACATTCTCTCTCTTTCTTTCGAGAAGAAATTGTGTCGAGATGGAATAATATTCTCTGTGCAGCCACGCAGGCACCGTTACTCGTGGACCCAAATCGGACGGTGGAGGAGCCGAGAGACAAACTAAACTGTATTGGGATTTCGCGTTTTTCGCTACCGTGACAACCGGGTCAACAAGCGTAACAAGCGTGTCGATTGTTGTGTGTTGCAGGCGCAGGCACTGACTGGACGACAGACGAGTCGCCCTTCAGCTGGGCCCAATCCTCAATCTCCACCAAACTGCTCCTTAAAAAGCCCTCTTGTTGCTGATGGTCCCAGCTCTTTCTCCTTTCCCCTTTCCCTTTCACTACCATAAACACATCCTGTAAACATTTGGCCGTTTTTTGCTCCAAATTTTTGCAAGCATTTGTTGATCCATTTTTTGCTCAGCGTGCATTGTTGGCTTCCTCGTTGCAAACTCTTCCTCCTCACGTCCTCGTTCCCGAGTACCAGTTTCCCCCAAAGACAGTCTTGACTCTCGACTGCCGCAAGGGAGAAGAGAGTTGAGGCGCCTTTCAGAGCTGGCAATCTGGACTTTGACGCCCGAGTCCCCATCCCAATCAGTGTCTTCCCGTCTACGTACAGGAGTGACGCTTCTGCCCAAGAAACTACCGTCACAAAGGTAGAAGGGGAAGTTCAACTACCCGGAACTTCGTCGCGCGTCGGACGGGAAGATACTCGATTTTCCAAGGAAGAAGTCGACATCTCCTACAGAGACAACCGTCCACGCCGCGATCAATATCAACGAGAGGACGTGCGAATCTCGGAGGAGCGTGATCGACGATACCCCGAGGTAGAGCTCACACGCGAGAAGTACGTGCCGCCTGCATGCGTTCCGTGCAACAATGCCCCCTCTGCTTGGATTTGTGCCTGTGCTTCTAACGCATTGATCTGCCCGGCAGTTCCGAGCCGTTGCTAACCTACCCGTCCCGATCATAGATACCGTGGGCCCACTGACTACAAGGCCACCAACGTCGAGATCGAGGTTGACCGTCGAGGTGCCCGGGCCCCCAACGTTGACATCGAAATCGATCGCCGAGACACTCGAGATCACGTCGAAGTTGATTACGACCGCCGCCAGACCTACGACAAGTCTTTTCAATCTCAGCTAGACATCACTGAGCGAGAGTACCGTCGCCGCGTCGATCCCACCTACGACGTTGAATACGAACGTCGCCGTCCCGCACAAGCCGAAGTCACAGTCCAGAAACAAGAGGTCAAGGTCGATCAACCAATTAGAAGAGACATGGGTTACTACGACGACGAGGGCAACTACCACAGCTTCCGCCGCGGGGTGGAGCGTGCCGCTGACCGCATCTTGCACCCCTTCTCCCACCATCACCATGAAGGTGGCCGTGAGGAGGTCGTGGTGTCGGATACAAGAGAGGCCAGCGGCCCTACCCGCGTGCGTGATGGCTCCGTTGAGCAAGTCCGCTTCGTCGAGCCTCGTTTCGGAGGCCGTGGTGTTCCCATCCAATGCCACTTCATCCGCATTGGTGACATTCTCCTTCTCCAAGGCCGTCCCTCGCAGGTCATCCGGATCAGCATGTCTTCTCAGACTGGCCAATACCGCTACCTAGGTGTCGACCTGTTCACCCGCCAATTGCACGAAGAGAGCTCTTTCATCAGCAACCCTGCTCCCTCCGTTGTCGTACAGACCATGCTTGGCCCTGTCTTCAAGCAGTACCGGGTCTTGGACATCCGCGAGGATGGCATGATTGTTTGCATGACCGAGACTGGCGATGTCAAGCAGGGACTGCCTGTCATTGACCAGGGCGGTCTGTTCAACCGCATTGACCGAGCGTTCGCCGACGGTAGAGGAAGCGTTCGCGTGTTGGTCATCAACGATGGTGGCCGGGAGTTGATTGTGGATATGAAGATCATTCACGGGTCGAGATTGTAGAGTCGAAATGGTGTTGGGAAAGGTAGTGAAGTGAAGTGGTAGGGTTGGATACAAACAAGCACCCTGGGTAATATCGACGTGGATGGGTTTGGCTTTCAGGGTCATCATCTGGACTAGGTTTACCTGATATATTCATGTGCATACACTTGCCCCTTGTGTACATGGCAGCAAGACAACTATACGATTCGGCAGAGGGCGGACTGTGTAGCTACCTTTCCGTACCAGCTGGGACACATGAACAGGGTATGTAGGCTAGGTAGGAAAGGATAGGCGCAATGGGATTGCGTTCCAATCACAACTGATGATAAGTCCTGCTCTGCCTTGACAACCCAACGAGCATAGACCTGTATCTCGTAGATTAGTGCCAGTGTACGAGGTAGTGCTGCGCTCTGGATGGTGACTACCTCCCACCCTACCACCCTTGAAAGGTATTGAAAGGAACGTTCAGAGTCGACCAGATCTACTCGTCCGAGTATGTACTCTGTAATTTAGCCAGCCCGTGGAAACTAGTATCACCATACTGTACGTAGATGGCACAGCGAAAACACTTGCAATGATTCAGACTAACCCCCGTGCCCTCCCAGGTTGATCTCCGACCTTGCTTGGCACTTTTTTTTACTCGGGAACTTCCAAGGGGCCGTGTATAGAACTCTAGACTCTGTTCTCTACTTGTAGCTATAATCACGAGCTCGTGAGCTCGGAAGCTCGGAAGCTACACCACGATGCATAGGGGCGTGGGTAGGTAGGGACCTCTCTCGGGGTTCTATTCAGGTAGAGGGTCTGTAGGATCTGGGTACGGTCTGAGCTGATGCTGGTGCTGGTGCCAACCAAGGTAGGTTTTTTCTTTTTTCTTCCACGGGCTTGCTGGTTGGCTCTACAAGTAATACCGAGTACACATTTATACGTTCTTTTCATACTGGGGTTATAGGCGCGTCGCACGATGCATGTCCGACATGGCATGTCGCATATCACATGTCGGGGTGTCGCACATCGCATATTACATCGTACATGGGATTTCATCAAGCGCACGAATCGTGCTCTTCGGGGCAAATTCATAGAAACCACAGCGGAGTGCGGCGTATTGATTTGATCTAACGCATTGTCCCCTCCCCCCCCCCCCCCCC